AAATGAGTGAAAACAAATCTCAAAGTGAAAAAACATGCAGTAGCTGTTATACATTAAAGAAGATTACTGACTTTTGCTGCCCTTCTGCTAATATTCCAGAATATGAATATGCTACTTGCAATCAATGCTCTGCAAGATTGAAAAACAAATGCCAGGAAAAAATATTTATACATCAAAAAGAAAGCAAAATTAGAAATAAGCAACAATATAAATTGAAATAATATCTTATCTCGCAATAATAACACCTCTAATAATATTGAATAGCTCTATATAAGTGATAATACTGAAGATATCCTGGATGTAACACTAGACGAAAGTACTGATGGCAACCAGCAGAGCGATAACTCTAAGATGCTTCTATACAATTTAGATGAAGTATCTGAAATTATTGATAAGTATTTTAAAGAAGCAGAAACATCTAATAAACCTGTAAAATTTATTTTCGAGATTGAATTAGATCAAGATCTTCTTGCTGTGATTTCACTGGATCAATGAAACTTGATGTTAGACACATTCGATTTAAAAATAATTAAAGAAAGATTTTACCAGCTTGCAAATACACTTATTATATTGCTCAAGTCAGGTTCTGATTATTATTAGGAGATACGTAAAATATATCTAAATAGCAAAAAGAAAATATTTTCAGGTTCTGCTACAGTATATCTTGGCTGTATGATACAGGATGATTAGGTCTGAAGAAGACCAGACAATCAACCATCAAGAAGATAAAATGAAGCTCATACTTCTATTAAAAGATACACCTGCATAGAAAATATCAAACTCACAATAATTCCAGAACAACAATATATTTTTGTCCAAGATGATCACCAAATAAAATACAAGAAGCCAACATACTGGCAGGTTGAATTTCCTATAAAGACAAGAGAATAGATTCAAAATAACATTAAACTCAATATACAAAGCACAAAAATCTATCATCAGCTTTGCAAGAATAAACTTCTTAATTCAGAGATCCACACAATAGAGCAGGAATATTATTAGATGTCAATATATAGCAAAATAACTTATATAATAAATCAAGTGAATCAGCTTTTATTAGCAAAGCTGTATCTTGAAAGGCTTGAACTTATGGAAAGAGGATTTATAGTTCTTAATTATTTGGAGAATGACTTTGTGTGAGCCTTGGAGTTTCTGATACTATTAATCAAATACATTAGTATCGAGAATATAACTGAAATTATTATAGACTCTACATTTAAGACAAATCAGAAGAAATTTAAACTCTTTGTAGTAAATATGAATTGTGATGGATATGATATACTAATAGCATATCTGTATCTTATCACATCTAGTAGTACCAAGAAAGCTCAGCATGATCCAAGAAATAATATAAAAACATGAGTCAAGATACTACAAATGTTCTTTATCAGTCTTTAACAGAAGGAGTTACAGTCAGTATTTGTCTTATCAGATAAAGATGTGAGACAAATATTAGCAGTTAGTGAGGCTTGGTCATGGATGACCAATATCCAACTTTGTTATTAGTATCTTGAGCATGCAATTGATAAATGGCTCAAAGACAAAAAGTCTAAAACAAATACATATTCAGCAGCTAAGGTATTGAAAGCCTATCGTAAATTTAATTTTATAGATCCATCATGGATTTAAGGTGATACCGGATCCTATCATTCAGATAATTTTAGTAAGAAACTTTTAGAAATGATTAAAAAATATTCAAATATACATCTGCTCATACCAGTGACCAAAGATTATTTTCTGACTTCAGAAGAGATCTATCATCTTTATATTCAAGAGATGTATCTGTTTTGCTATTCACATAATCTTCTAAGATTATGGGATTACCTGTGATCAAATTGGTACAATGAAAAGGACTGGAAGCTGTTTGCTCGATCTTTATACTCACTAGTCATACTTTTTGCGTGTACCACTATGATCACAGAAAGTCACTGGCAAGTTCTAAAGTATAATTATAAATATAATTATAACTGCCCACGAGTAGATTGACTCACACAAATTATAATGGAATAACTTGTGTCTGACTATAAAATCAAACTAGTTCAATATAATAGAAATCATATTTTCCTATCATGATAGTATGCATTCAAAAAAGACTGGTACAAGAATGCCATAATGGATATTCAATCTGACATCGAAGAAAAATATTATGTTAATATTAATAACTGAATCTGTTCTTGTCTAGCATACTTACGCAGTTGCTATCATCTTTGCAAACATCTCATCAACAAAAAAAATGGTAGATGATTTTTACTTACTTTTTTGGAGACAGCGTGACAACATGATTATCCTTTACTCATTTTTGAGAGTGAGAAAATACCAGTTATTGCTCCAACAAATAATCCCTGGATCAGACTTAGCGCGATAGTAGTCAAAAACAATTTTATAGAAGAAGATAGCTCCAGCTCGAGCAACTTACAAAATACATTAATAGAGATAAACCGTAATGTGATAGAGGAAAGACAAGCGAAACTTGCTTAATATAAAAAAACTTTGATGTTGCGTTGGCATTATATAAGTGGGAGATGAATAATGATGACTTTATTAGTAACTTTGATGCCTTGGTGAGATCATTTGTGAAGGAGATTGAAAGATGCAAAGAAGCATTACAAACTCACACTCAACAGGGTACTTGAAAATCAAAGAATGAAAAGCTTGCCTTTTGGTTACATTAATTTTTTTTATTTTATTGAAGTGTTTTTAATTAAATATAAATACAAGAAGTAATTAAAAGTTTTTTGATTATAATGATTGCATCATAAATGTAGCACATTAGTAAACACCGGACAAGGATCCGGATAGTCAGAAGGATCGGAATCACATGACCCGTAACTTTTTTTTCGCCATGGCTAGGGTACTTGGTACTTGAATGGTTTCATCATAGATATTTGTTAGTTATCAATTCAATGATATCCAGATCGCACCACGAGAAGGTTAGTTCCAAATTTGCGATCCAAAAAAATAATATTGGGTTTTTTAGAAAAAGATGGTTTTTTAGAATTAATGGTTATATGTACCCCTATAACCAAAAATCCTTTGTGCCGAAATAACCAAAGCGATACGATGGATTGACTCATTCTATCAAATGATATGAGGACTCTCCGGACCAATTATATATACTCCATGATATCCAACCGGAGTGGTTATTTAGAATAAAAATTATCCTTTGTGCCGAAATAACCAAAACAGTACGATGATCACTGATTGATTTGTCCGAAGACTTATCAGACCTAAAATGAGAGTCCTTTGTTCTCTGACCGATAACTAAGAAAATTTATCACGATTACTTTCTCAAGATAATCGATTAAGGATTTATATCGTCAAATATCCCTTTGTTGAAGATTTAATTGATGAATGTGGAAACCCAATAAAAACCACATAATATTCAAAAAGGTATCTTTGGAATAAAAAACAAAATTATTATGAAACCACAAATCAAAAGAATTGATGATATTATTTGCCCTATCAAAATAATTAGTTTAAATTCTAATTAAAAATAACAATGCTTTGAACATAGTTTAAACTTCTCCATCTTTAATCCTCATACACATCCCTATGATATATTCCCCGAAATAACAAAAATGAAAGTATCATTCTGAAATCCAATGACCCAATTTAAATAAAATACTTCATTGAATTTGTGAAATTGGGACAAATTCAATGAAGTATTTTATTTAAATTGGGTCATTGGATTTCAGAATGATACTTTCATTTTTGTTATTTCGGGGAATATATCATAGGGATGTGTATATCCATTATCTCAAAACAATAAAGAAATGAGAATACCTAGCTTATAAACGCATCACGTCAGAATTACAAAAAGATATTAGATGTATATTAGAAATAGATAAGAATACTAATCAACATGCTGTTAGAATTAAATATAATTCTAGAGCTGATGTCCTACTCAAGAAAAAAATGTTACGGATCTAGGGTGTAAACTAACCAAATCGCAAGATCAATGAGTAATGGAAATGAATTGTTAAGCCACTGTCCATATTAAACATTTTTTATTCGTATTCATTGAACTATTATTTCTTTTACGAAACGAGACTTTGTCAATATTATTCATTAAACTTGAACAAATCTAAAAATTAGATGCTGGAACTTATGGGTCAGTTAAGAAGCCGTGGTAATTAAAACAGGTGAAAAGGTCACCATCAAAACAAATCAAAAGCGTGATGTAAAGTCTTAAGAGGAAGAATATTCCATTAATTGGTCGCGCATTTATATATAATCTACTTATAATTGACTTCACAAAAAAAGCGCAACAGGTGGTGAATTATTTGATCGTATGTGTGATCGCGGAAAATTTACCGAAGCTGATGGTAGACGTTATAAAAACAGTACTTACGCAGTAGCATATCTTCACGCGAATCATATCGCACATTGTGGTAATTATTATGTGTAATTCTTGATTGATTGTTATTACACTTTTGAAAGATTATTTATTATATTTAAAATCAGAGAATTTATTATATAAGAGTCAAGCACCTGATTCTGCTCTTGTACTGGGTAATTGATAAATGGAGCAAATTATAATATCAATCAATTTAAAAATGTAGTAATTCATTTTTTGCTAAATGTTTAGAATTGCAAAAGTCATGAAAGATAACGATGATATTCTAACTACTTATTGTGGTTCACCTGGTTACGTCGGTAAATTTAATACATATGATTTTTGTAATAGCACCAGAAATTTTAAATCGAGTTGGATATAGTAAATCTGTGGATCTTTGGAGTATCGGGTATTTGAAATGAGCCTTTTTTTAGTAATTCTTATAATTTTCTTAAGTTAATTAATAAATTGCATTGACCTCATTTATATAGGATTATTACATAGATGAACTTTATGCGAATGGAATTAAATTCTCGATTTAATTTTCTCAAATGAATATAGATTATGTGGTTATGCACCGGCTCGTAATGAGGATCGATTTGCCACAACCGAGGAAAGAAATGGCTTACGCGTAGAGTTTCACAATCGCTATTGTAGAAACATTTCATCAGATTGTATTGTTATCCAACATATTCTTCTCTTTTGCGCTATTCAAAACTTAATCAACCATCATAAATATTAAACAATGTCACTTGTTCTTTTTTATAAATATCAAGCCAAAGATTTTATTATCCACCTACTAAATTACGATCCGAAAAAAGGCCGACCGCAGAGCAAGCGCTAAAACATAAATGGCTTACGGGTAAGACGGCAATGGACATTGACTTACTGAGTGACTTTGTCGAGAACTTTAATGCTCGTGGAACATTTGGAAGAGCGGTAGAAGTTGTACAAGCGGCGAGCAGACTCAAGAAAAATGCCCCAAAGAAACCTGATAGTGATGATGATGAGGAAGAACTACAAAATGAGCAAGAAAATCATAATCATAATCAAAAGCAGGCTCAGGATACTGAAACGGATCCAGATGTAAGTATAAGTTGATAGATAGATGAATTAATGAATTGTATATTTGTTCATATACTTGTAAAATTCAGTTATCGTTATATATTTATATTCTGTATTCGATGTAATAATTGTTAAAGACGTGCATGTTAAAATCTCTGAAATTTCTAAATATACAGTAGTAAATTTATTTATTTGATTAAATATCTCATTAACGATAATTATATACTCAGCAAAGGCAAATGTTAAGATTTTATTTCTAATTTTTTCAATAAATTCCCGCGTGGTTTTGCAACAACCACTTTATTATCATTGTTAACCCATTTCCTTGCATACTCGGTAAACACATCTGCACCTACGCCATTATTTGATTAGCAACCGGATCCACCTCATTGCCTGCATTCGGATAACAAATAACCATTTTTTATTATTAAAACGAATCTATAGTTCGGTGCTGTTAGTAAAAATTTTAAAAATTCGGTTTAATGGGGGTAGATTTACTATAACTAATCTTGAAGCCATCTTCGGTTGTAATTAGTGCTTCGGTTAAACGGGGTTGCCTTTGTACAAACAACAAACGTTAAATTTAATACTTAATAATGCTGTATTTATGACGATTTTACAAGAATGGACAAAATGAAATTGAATTAATTTTTGGAACAAAATTTCATATCAATTGTATTTAGTGAGTTTTACCAGAGTTTATCCGCAACCAAAATATGATTAAGTGTCCCATGGATCGAAATACCAATTACATCATATAGTGTAGAACGGCAAAATCTTAGTCAATAATCTTTATAATGAGAATTAATAAAATTCTCAAAAGCACAACGCTGCTGATGATGTGCAAATCCCGTGATCACGAACCATGTTATATTGAATCTATATATATCCAGTCGAATCTTTTACTTTGTATTATATAATAGAGGCAAATCATTTTACAAAGGATCACTTTGAAGGATGGGAACATGTTACTCGTGTGTGACATTTCCTGCTCAAACCAACGCAATTCTCTCAGCTGAAGATTATCATCGCTTGAAAAGCTATCATCCAAAAGCAACTACATATGATCAACTTTATCAATGTCTCATATTAACAACTCTAAATATTGGGGTGACTATCCAATGTCATGATTACTTTGAAGCAGAAAAGATTATTCTTACTAAAGACTATCTGGAAGAAAGGTATTGCATCAACAACTTCATTAAAACGAAAATTAATGAGTTCGGCGTGGTGATTTAATAGGTGTTGGCCTATGACCTTGATATGACCTCAAAATTGAGACATATGACCTCAATTTTATTATAAATTTTGTATGACTTATTACCAAAGTCATGAAATTGGTTAGAATATGGTTGCAGTGAAGCTGGGAAAATTTATGAGGGAGACAATGGTATCGAGATCATTAAAGAAGAGGTTTAAAAATGTCCAAAATGTTGAGACATGTTCAATAATCTTTGTGAGGCTCTGGAAATGCATGAAAGTAAAAATTCGGAAGCTGGAAACAATTGGTTTTATTATTGCAGGTATGTACAAATATAAGCTTTCTCATTTGTTAATTCCTAATCTGCATAACACAATTTTGTTATGTTAGGATTGAGGATATCACTGATACGATTAAATTTACCAGCGGGGGCATGTCTGTAGGTTATCACGAGCAGTGTTGGTCTATGACCTCAATTTTATTATGCAAACGAGGTAGCAAAAATGGCTTATGGCCAGGGTTGGCCCTTGGACAATTTTGGACAGTTTGGACAAAAATTTATTAGTAATTTATTTATGTAGATATTTGGATAACATGTTTGTACTGGACCTTGCTTATGAACATGAAATTGGCCAACACTAATCACAAGCACATCTTTTTGAGATACCAACTCAGGTTTCTGAATTCAGTGCAAAAGCCCTTCCAAAGATAAGCTTGATATGAAAAGCCAAAGTAAGTATCACTTGAGGTATTTTGTAGTTTATTTAACCATTTTTTTAAAAGCAATAGTAAAAAACGTAATCAAACTAATGGAGAAAGAAGATCTGACAGAACAACAACAGACTACAACAGCTAATATAAAAATTAATAAACTGTACCCTCATTATTTATTCAAAGACGGAATACCTATATATGGGCCATCATGTGATCTATGTCCATTAGGGGTGCGCAAATTTTTTTGATTAACCCGGCAAACCAAATCCGACACAATATAAGAATTTTTCCATTAAAAAATATTTTTTATTATACCAATTTTACGCTTGATGTAATGTCCAGTAAGATTATGAAATAAAATTTTTTAACTTTATCGCCCCACATATTGATTGATACACAAAAAGTCATTACTCGCACATATATTTGACGCATGTAACAGCAATAAAAATCCGTGCACGAATTTCCTGAATTGAATATTAAACAAATACCGATACACCAATTAAATAGATTCGACGGGGCTACGTTTAATGACTCAACAATTGTAACAAGGAAAAAAGGCGGTCTAAAAATAGTCACATGCAATTTACAAACATACGATATTCCATGCAAAAATCATTTTATTTTAAATAGGAAATATGCAATAACTTGATTATGCAATCTTTATGTTGCCTAATCCTTTCAAATATTTACACATGACTATTCGTAAAAGTGAAAGTTATTGTAAATTATGTTTTGGCTTGTTAAGTATCCGGAGAAAATCGGGTACTACACTCGAATGAGTCGAAAAATAAATGTTTTTTTCTTTTTTTTAATAAGAATTGGCAAAAGCCCCGAAAGTTAAAAGTCAAAGATTTGTTCTTTTTGTGGCAATGAATTATGATTGAGAACACATTAACGACTAAAAAAAAGGAATCTCCTTTGTTCAAATCCTGTGGCCAATTTCATTTTAACATCCTAAACAAATAAACCAAAGGTATTTTTGGCAAAATTAAAAATAACAATCATCATCATAATTATATCTTTATTCCATTTCAAAAGCATATGATCCCAGCGTTACACTCCAAATGATCAATAATATCCTTCGATGCTAGTCAACCATCCACACAATGATAGCGATTGATTCTTCGAGCATTCAAAAAATATAAATATTATGTTGCATTTTTAATTTATGTAGATGAATACAGCATATAAAGATTAGCCCGATACCCGCCTAAACTCGTAAACAATTCATATTGTCGTAATAATCATATTATTATCATGTATTAAGAAATTACACAAAAAAATCTGATAATTTTTTGTTTGTGCGAATGGTGCATAAATTTTTTTATATTACCTATTATTAAAATATTTTATAATGTAATATAAAAAATGTATATATAATGAAGAAAAAAACGTCGAGGATTCTGCTCCTGATTTTCTTCCTATCAAACCTAGCCGTTAATTTTTTTTTTCGCTTGAGTTTTTTATTATTCTAAATTCCCCGATTTTATTCGCTTGTGACACTTATAAAAATTATTTATTTGTATCGGAAAAATGATTAGAGAAGCAAGAAAAAATAGACGCATCACTAATCCACAATTGAACAATGTCGCTGCTGACCCCTCCAATAATGACGCGAATAAGAATTGTAAACCAATAGTGGGAGGCGCTCACTCAACTCTAACCAAGAAAAGAAAAATAAGCACAACTTCTTTATTGACCAATAAAACTCGAGATCCTTCACCTACTCTGCCTCAATCTTCCACAACAATAGCAATGTTGACAAACAAAGCAAATTTAATCGATATTGAATCGTGCATAGATAATCCAATAATTGCGCCTTTGGGTGATCATGTAAGGACATCGAGTTTCAATTTCGACGAGAAACATGTTTCTGCTACTACTTCACCTATAAATAGTAGAAGAAACAGCAGAATTCCTTCAATTGATCTATCTGGATTGAATCTTAAAATTACCGAATCACTAAGTACTACATCAGATTCTCAATTATCGTCGACAAAAGAATCAGAGAACAAAAAAGCTGAGCCTATTACTTCCTTAATATTACGAAGGCGACGTTTGACTACTGATCAACTCGAGAATCAACTTAATATCCTTTCAGCGACTACACCAAAAATCAACACAACATGTAAACTCGATTTCCCATCCCAGATTTTTCAACTTGTCCAACTCGATTTATCGCGAAATCAATTAGCAGATCTGCCAAAAAATATCGCTAGATTCTGTCCAAATTTACGGCATCTTAATCTTGCAAATAATGCGTTGACTTTTTTCCCGATCGAGCTTTTGCATTTTATGCACCTGGAATTTCTCGATTTATCACAAAATCAGATTACTGGCCCGATGCCAAACCAACTTCCTCTTTGTTTGACAAATTTGAAGACGTTGAAGCTCGGGTCAAATCAAATCACAGCTCTACCATCCAGTTTAGGTGAATTAAAGAATTTACAAAGTTTGGTGATGGGTTCAATCTTTGGTGGCAACAAACTGGAATCATTCCCATCAGGCTGCATATCAAAGATGCCAAATCTCGTGGAGTTGATTCTGTCACATAATTCTCTGAGAAATTTGCCCGAAGATATTGGCCACCCTGGTTCGCAATTAGAATATTTCAGTGCGATGGATAATAAACTTGAGTCGATTCCGAAATCTATTGGACTCTGTACGCGATTACGTTCATTGAATCTCTCACGGAACCAAATTGCATCGTTACCAGTGGAAATTGCCGACCTTTTACAATTAGAGACTTTGGATTTAACACATAATTTGCTTTGTATCATCCCCGGTGATATTGCTGAATTTTTAAAGAGAACAACATTGTTGTTGACCGGCAATCCATTCACAAGAGGTGATTGCGGTGTTTCATCGCTACGTCGCGTAATGAATCATATACCGATCTCTAATGATCTCGAAGAATCTGATCAAGAAAATTTAAATCCAAGTGAAGCATATTCAAAAGTTGTCTCAATACTAACGAAACAAGCTATAGCAACAACCACTATCGAATCGGATAATTTTGACGATGATGCAGGATTAGATTTTCAATTGTACTACGCTCAAAATTACTTCTCTTCTTTATCTACTTCACCCACATCTTTGAGTACACGATCCTCTACGCCTGTGCCACACTTCATCGATCATGATCCATTTCCATTCCCAACAGGAATACCTTCTCAATTGTCATCAAAATCATCAACACCAAGATTACCATCTATCAATGCTGTCGAAAGTACCGGTTGCAACACTCAAGCATCTTCAAAACCAAATTTCATACCTTCCTTGATGGAGCTAGCTGCTCGTAGTGTCCTATTGAACGAGGCTTCTGTAGCTCCGGGATCTTTACCACAAAGACTCTATGAATATTTAATTCAAGGTGGTAGACCATGCTATTTCTGTCATAAGCCATACGTTAAACAATGGATTAGTTCGGTGCAAGTGAAAGGTAACTTTCTTTTTTATTGATTATCATGAGTATTTTAACCTAAGGGAATATAATAATTAACATTTTAATTTTACGTTTTTTTTTTAGGATATTTGGGTCATCCAGCAATATTACGCCGCATTAGAATCTGCAGCACTCATTGTTGGAATATGTACCTGAAAACGTTGGAATCGGGTAAACCATGTGAAGCGGGAAATTGCGAATCAACCTGCAAGCAAGATTGTGGCGTGGATAAAGCAAGTTGGCGAGTGAAGTGCTGTATCCTTGGAGATGATGAAGAGTAATTTCATTTAATCAATTAATTAATAATAAACATTAAACACAAGAAAGAAATATTTTTCGATTGTAATCTCGGGAGCAGAGAAACACCCCTTCGATATAGAATGTAATATATTTTATACATCATATATACACAATTTCTTTCGATTTAGAAGAATCATTCTCTTAATCTTTTTAAAAGTAATTATTAACTTAATTTGTAAATGAGAGTATTTTGCAAATCTTGTAAATCAATAATAAAATAATCCATTGTTGAAATAACTGCCAATTTAAGAAGAAAAGAAGTCAGGTGATAACGAAAACATGAGAATTCTATGATCTGAATGCTAGTGTTATCTCAAAAGATTCATTTTTTGCAAGCTGTGCTTTCACAGTTGTAATATTTCATAAAATACTGGATATTGTTTTTTACTCAAATTCACCACAAGAACGGATACACTCGCATATATATATATATTTACGCACACCCCCCGAGACTTCCTGTTGGCTGTTTGAAGGTTCTCGAAAACAACCAATAAAATGATGGCCTGGACAAAGCACGAAAAAGCTGTATCTGAGCTGAATTCTCATGATCCTGAGGTTCTCGTCAAAACTTTACGGTTCATCAAAAATAATATTATTGGAAACAAAACGAAAAAGGATCTTTATATTGGTTTTAATATAATTCCAAAGTATGTTTAGTGCGTTATCAATTGAATTTTCAAGGTTTATTGATTTGTAAAATTTTTTAGGCTTGTAAGTTTCGTTGATATGACCATAGCAGCGGAGACGACAAAAACAATTGTATCACAGGGGGATATTTATACTCAAGTGAAAATACAGGCAGCAATTGTACTAGGCAGTTTTGCCTATGGTTAGTATGATTGAGATTTATCTATTGCTTAGGTTTACAATTGCTATCAAATCGAGATATTAAAAACAATGTGATTGCTTAGGGGGCGAGGCAAATGTGACTAAAATCGTGAAAAGTGGTGGAGTTAAACCCTTGTTAGGTTGTATAGCGTCGACAAATGATCCAAAATTAATTGAAGCCGCTGCGCGAGCACTAAAAGCAATATACACAAGTCCGACAGCAGACAAAAATGATATATTTCAAGTAAATGATAATTAATTGAAAGCATGTTTCTATTTTATTATTCGGCCATGCGCTAAATTGAATGAAAATGAAAATGGAACACTGGAAATAATTATAGGCTGACCACCTTCACAATCTGATAACCTTATTAAATCCCGCCGCGCTGAATCCAAAAAGCGACCGTGAAAAAATAGCGTCCGCGCATACGGCCGAACTAGCCGCGACGATTATAGCGCGTTGCTGTGACACAAACGATCAGCAAATTCAAATTGCTAAGGCAGGAGCATTTCCTGCGTTGGTCAAACTACTTTCCTGTGGGTATGCAAAAGCTCAAGAAGCGGCGCTGGATGCTCTGGCTTATCTTTGCCGCGAAAATCCAGAGTTTGGTCGGGAAATTGTACAGACGCAATGTAAGTATTCGTTTACGTACTATCTACAAAATATATGTTTTGGAAAATTTTTTATTTAATACGTGTCGTGTATAGGATTCTAACTAAAAAGTGTGTTTATTCAGCCGATTCGAGTAAGAATCCGGTGAAAATTATGTTGGAATTGATACGCGATAATTCTCCGACAATGCGTTTAATAGCGGCGAGATGGTATTTAAGAATTAAGTGATGCTGTGTTTCTTTTGTAATTTTATATTGAAATTCAATATTATATTTCTCTGATAGTTTAACACATCTAAGTCGAGATAACGCAATCACCGAATACACAAATGATATTTCGTTGGTTGTTCTACCTACATTGGTAAAATTACTTGATGAAAAAGGATCTGTCCGAGAAGAGGCCCCACATGTTCTCGGTAATGATTCCTTTTGCATTTTTTCTTAGGAAGGAAAATAGAGGAATGGATGACACAAAAAAAACAATAATTGTAATACTTGTTTAAATCATTTGATTGCCCATTGAATTTTAGCTTATCTTATTCGAGATAACGAAGAGCTTCAAAAGGCTGCCTGTGATGCGGATGCTGTTAGCAAACTCGCTGGAATTGTTACACATGTCGCTGATGAGGAGACTTCGTATTACAACGCGACTGGTGATAGCGATAAATTAAAAGAGGTTTGTTGGCATAGTGTATCATTTGACATTTAAATTTTACGAATTCTCGCTAATTTCGATTAACTCGCAGCATGCACTTACTGCTCTTGCAGCGATGAGCTCTCTGTATGATAACGGTCGAAAGTTGGTAAATTTCGAAATCAAAAATCTCTCATTTGTTTCTCTTTTTTGCTTTAATTGCTTATTGGTTAGTCTAAAATATGCAGGTTGTCGATGCGAAAATAATACCACACATTGTCACTGCCATGTCACATAAATCTTATGGAGTAAGATCTGCGGCATGCCAACTGACAAAAAGTCTTTCAAGATCGGTCCACATTCTACGCACTAGTCTTGTTGATGCCGGCATTGCTGGTCCTCTGTTCAAAGTAGTGTATTAAGATTATGTATTCCCGCAAATGTTTTGCATATTTTGTTGCTAATCTTTGAATTTCAAATATTCTAGCTTTTATCAGATGAATCAACAGATGTCCAAACAATAGCTTGTGCTACTTTCTGTAATATGGTACTGGAATTCTCCCCGATGAAAAGGGTAACTACCATTTACTATGCTTTTCTTTGCTAATAATTAATTTAGTCTAAAGAAACTCAATTTTATTTGATTTCCCACCAATAGACAATATTGGAATTAGGGGGCATAGAAAAATTGGTAGAACTTGTGCATTCTCCCGACAATAATATTAGACTTAACGCTATTTGGGGATTGAAAAATCTAATATGTCATGCTGAATCTGACATCAAAGATTCAGTTATGAAGATTTTAACATACCCGATGCTAGCGAAGTAAGTAGAAGTGAACGAATGACAACATTCAATAAAATGTTTAATTAGATTTTTTTGTTTATGTGCCTAGATTAATCGATGATCCAGAATTAGATGTACAAGAACAAGCATTGAATTTATTACGAAATCTTGCGTCGTCAAAAGAAACGGTACTTAAAAAAAGCCATTCGAATCTTCCCGAGATTTCATATGGAAAATTTCTAATCGTGGGAGCTTTTTTTGCTATTAGGATATCGAAGAAGTTTTCAAAGGATTAGGCGAGGAAAAATTGATGAATATTGTTGAAAAGAAACTTTGTTGGTCTCACCCGCAAATTATAAAACAAGTATGTCTTTATTACTCCTTGCAATGAAATTCCCATTTCATGAAATATATTTTTCTTTCCTTCTGATTCTTTTTCCCCGAAAAGACATTATACATAATTAGCAATATTGCATCAGGAAATGAGCGACACATGCAAAGTATAATGTCTCGCCAAACTATACTGAAAAACATACTTGATTACATGACACATGAAATGCCCGATATACGCTTAGTCGCCGTATGGTGTTTGAATAATTTAACTTGGATGAAGGATAAACATTTAAGTAAGCCTTATGACTTGTGAATTCTTCATATTTTGATTTTTCTTAAATATGAAAAAAATTTTATTGCCAGCAGATACCCAAGATCGTGTACGTCTACTTCGACAGCTGGGTTTCGAAGAACAAGTCAAAAAGATGGCAAATGACGAAGATTTGGATGTTCGAGAACGAGTCAAATCCGCGATCTCTCAATTTTCCGAATTGTCTTGAGAGATCTATTACTAGCACATATACACACATCCATACACAATAATTGTTATCATCTTGATCTCTTCAAAAAAGTTTCGGAAAAAGAGGTCGAATGATAATTATTATTATTGTGTAACGAAGCTCATTTTTTTCTAAGAAATTTTTTTATTTATTTATTATTTATTTATTTAATTTTTTAAGGTAAGATGAAATCAATGTCGACCTTGACCCCGACTCTCTGATCAATCGAATCTTCAACACCATTATCATCGGGTGAATTCACACAATTAGGAAAGTATGGTGGGGGTGTTTTACGCAGGTGGTTGTGTATGTACGATGAGCTCACTGATATACTTTATAATTACTAGTATATTAATGTATATTATACACTACAAATAACAGCCGCATAAAAATATACGAACAACAGATATTTCTAATATCTTATTTATAATTCTAGATTTTTATTTCTTGGGTATGATTAATGAAAAAATCAACCTACTAATACATAATACGTATGATACATAATGAATGTTATAATTTATGTTATTAATTCACTGGTAAATTTTACTATTAAAAAACAAACTTCGGCATAATTTTATTAGTTAAAAATAACAAAATTTCCTTTGATCATACATCATGTAGAACCACATATATAATTAAATCTCTTATAGTTATATCTCTTTATAATTATCTTTTTTTATAGTCATTTTTTTTAATTTTCAGTTATTAATTAATTATAATTAAAAAAACCTTTATAATCACATCTTTCTTAGTTATCTAATTTTACTTTTTCAAGTATGATAACTATAGAGAGATTTGATTATATTTTTAATAATAAGTTTTTAATTTTAATTATATTATTCTAATACTTTATAAATTTTTAAGAGAGTATAATATTATTTTTATCAAGAAAATAATAATATATAATAACTTTCATAATTATAAATCAAAAAAATTAATTTTATTATGGGCTGATGCAAAAAGATTGATATATTAATATAAAATCAATAATTATTTCTAATAAAAATCATTTAAATTTTAACTAATCTTTATAATTTTTTTATATTAAATAAAGAATGATTTAAATTAATTTTTTATATTATTTTAATCATTTTATTATATTTTAATTTAATAATAAATAAAGCATTACTTTATTAAAAAAACTAAAATAAAATTATTTTTTTTAAAAAATGATATTATTTCATATTATATATTAAAACTTTATCATCAATTTTAAATTATGTGATTCTTTGTAATTTTGAGTTATATTTTTCTTTTATTTATTATTGCTATTTTTTAATTTGATTTTGTATTGTATTAATATCATCTGGTAAGTGATGAATTAATGAAAATATTTAATCTAATATTTTATCTTCTTTATTTTTATTTTCTATTATTAGTGATGGATATTTTAAATTAATAGATAGTTAAGTATTTCTTCTATAGATCAAAAAGAAAGGTTCATATTATTTCAAAGTGTTTTGTATGCAAATAATACTAATAATATATATATATCTCATTATTTATCTAATACAATATAATATTTTTAAAGTATTTTACATAAAGTTCTATTAAATTATTCTACTATTTTATTAGTCTATAAGTAATATGATGATAAAAACTTGTATTTAATTTTAAATTGAGTGTTAAGTTCTTTAATTATTTGAGTTATAAATTCAATTTCTTGATTAAATTATAATTCCTTAAGATATTTATGTCTATAAATTATTTCTTCAAAAATAAATTTGATAATTATACTAGCTTCTTTATTTGGAATTACTTTTGCTTCAGATCATTTTGTGAGTGAATTTATTACTATAGTAATATATTAATTTTTTTTCTTGATTACTTTGTAAGAGTTAACAAGATTAATTATAATTTTATCAAAAGATTATCCAACTTTAATAGAATGTAGAAGTTATTTTGTAATTTATTTATCAGTTATTTGACAAGTTTTACAAGATTTAACAAAATTCTTTATATTGTAACCAATTAGCTTATTCATATGACATAGTAGACACGGCACAGTAAATAGTGCAGCTGCATCACGTGGCGCAGTAATTGCCAATCACTACTAAATTAGGCGAATAAGTAATTTATATTAATTTAATTTATTATTAATTCTATTTTTAATTCATATTATTATCTATATTTAGTCTTATTCAAATATTAATTTAGTCATGTATATCACACTTAATTTACAGTTTAATTAAATTAATAATTTTCTTATTAATTATTTTTATCTTTTCTTTCTTTTCTTACTTTTAT